TCCATGTAGAGGTGGTTTCCACATCCTCACTGCCAGGGGCCACTGGGCTCAGACCTTCCTGAGGGAGAGGGAGGAAGAGGAGATTGAAGCTGTGGGGGTGGAAATTCGACCTTTGGTGGAGAAGCAGCATCTAGGCATAGAGCTGAGAAAAATCAGTCTTGCTCACTTTCTCTGTCATGGTCCTTTCCACAGCCCCTCCCTCCCAAGACTTTCTTGTTTTGGTTTTATTTTCCAAAGCAGCATGGCATTCATGCAGGACCTGGTAATGAAATGAGATAAAAAGCCAGAGCAAGTGTTTAGAGCATTGCTGGGAGGGCTGGATACACCCCCTGGAAAGCCAGGCTCTGTGGGAGCTGGGAAGCTGAAACTGCCCGTCATGGTGGCCCAGGCATCAGGGACAATGCAAGGGGGTGGCAGAGCTGGAGCTGGGGAAGAGATGAAACTGGGAAGCAGGGTGCCAGCGTGGGGACAGGCACGCCTGGAGGCTCTTTTATCTGGTGTTTCAAGAGGTAACACCCACACCCTCTCACACCGATGCGTGAAAATGAATTCCTGAATTGTAGCACGCACAGCAGACACAGGACAGCCTGTGCGATGGTGATGACAATATCAAAGCCCAGGACCTAAGAGAGATCTCATTTTCCCTGCTGACTCAATATGCCCCTTCCATGAGGACATGTTCTTCTCGTATCCAGGCCAACCTGGATACGAGAGGGACTGGCCTGGCATCGGGCCCTGTCCCTGGCCTGGCTCAGGTCAGTAGGAAGGTGTGAGTTGGGGACAGATGGAGCCTCTTTGCTTGCTCCCCCAGGACTGTCCCCAGCTGGTGCCCACAGAGGAGATCCTGATTCCAGTCGGGGAGGTGAAACCAATCACCCTTAAGGCTCGAAACCTGCCGCAGCCACAGTCCGGCCAGCGAGGCTATGAGTGCGTCCTCAACATCCAGGGTGCCATCCACCGGGTCCCCGCCCTGCGCTTCAACAGCTCCAGCGTCCAGTGCCAGAACAGTTCGGTAAGAAGACTCGGGCTGGGGCCCTGCTGGTGCAGGGCTTTCTCTCACACCCATGCCACAGCCTCAGCCTGGCCAACTCCAGCTTCCAGAACCTTCCAGGTTCACAAACTGACCCCACATCCCCAGGGACAGAGGAACGTGCGTGCACCCTAGCTCCCTCAGCCAGATCAGAGCAGGTTAATGGTGTCAGAGGAGACAGAATTCTGTGAGGACTCTAATGGCAGGAGTTGAGATCTTCGTGCCTTTCCTGAAGGGCACAGAGCACCTCTTTGCCTTCAGTGACACCTCAACCACAGCAAGTCAACTCCACCTCCCACGATGACCCCATCCAGTGGGCGCTACACAGGAGGACAGCTGGAGAAGAGGACAGGGAAGTAGGATGGGATGGGGGGAGGGGAGAGGAACGAGGAAGCAGTGTCCCTGCAGAGCAGCGAGGGTTAAACCAATCCTGGGTGGCAGACCGAGAGCACGAGGTGTTTAATTATAACACTAGCCCAGAGATCTTTTTGTCTGCCAACTCCCTGTCTCTAACTGTCGGGGGTCAGCTCAGAGATGGGGGAGGGGGTGACGTGACAAAGGTGTTGAGGGAAGCTAATTCGCCTGGGAGAGATAGAGAGAATCTGGGCCTCTTATCAGGGAGCTGTCAGATTCCTGGGTCACAGGCGCTTGATAGAATTTGTGATGGTGGAAGGCTGCCAAGCTGGGGAGGTGGGGTGAGGAAGAGACAGAGCTCAGCAGAGGGAGGAGGCGGCCAGGAGGGCGGGGGCAGAGCACAGATGGTGACTGTGACGTGCCCTCCTGAGCTAAGTGGCGGGGCTGGGCCATCCCCAGGAGGAAGTGTCCCAGTGGTCTCCTTCCCAGAGCACTGGTGGGCCACCCAGGGGGGCTGTTTCTGCAGTGTGCGAAGGGCTTAAAAGTCCTCTGGGATCAGCATGAGAGAGAAAGTTGACACTTAGCCACAGCGGGAGGCCTTTGGCCGATCAGATCTGTGCCCAGAAGGCTGTGGGCACTTTCCCTTAGTGGACTGTTGACCCAAGTAAGGCTCATGTGCAAAAAGAGAGGACCAGCACAGCTCGGCCACCCAGCCACTCGGTGACTGTTAGTTACGCACATGCTCTGCTACAGACTCTGTGGGGTCTACAGAGCAGGAAGAGGACACTGGCTTTGCCTCCAGAAATGTAATGGCTTTCTAGAGAGACTAGATTTGCACGTGAACAGATAGATGTACAGCAGCTCCCGAGAAGTGCCAGGTCAAAGACAGATGGCGACAATACCAAGGGACAGAGAGGTTGGGGAGTGCTGGCACAGATATTGGAGGGGACTCCTGGGGACGGTGGGTCTGAGCTGGACTGGAAGAACAGGATGGGTTTAAAGGGTGGAGGTTGTAAGGAGACGACTGCATTCCTTATGACATATAAACTCAAAGACACAGAGGGGCTTAAGCAGGAATGTTTGGAGACAGATGGATTCAAAGATTTCTGTAGGAGAGCAGTAGAGAAGGTTGGAAAGTAGGTTTGGATCAGATTGTGGAAGGCACTGAGCGCCAGGCTAGAGCATCGGGCAGGATCCTGTTGGCATCAGTGACTGGTGTCAGAGAAAGGGCATCCTGGGGCTGGTGTGGGCAGCTCCCGGGTTCCTCTGCATCTCTGACCCCTGTGATGGACAGCCTCACGAGCCACGTGCCTCTGCCCTCCCCCTGCAGTACCAGTATGACGGGATGGACATCAGCAACCTGGCCGTGGACTTCGCCGTGGTGTGGAATGGCAATTTCATCATTGACAACCCTCAGGACCTGAAAGGTAAGCGGCTACTTCCAGGTAGAAGTTTGATCTTTTCACGACCCGGGAAAGACTGGGGCTGGAGGGATCAGAGCTGGCAGGCCGCTGTGCCATGAATAATACACTCCCTCTGTCAGCGGAACTCTTCAGAGGACCCTATAGCAACATTTGGAGCCATCAAAGGAGTCCTGTTGGGAGCCCTGTTTTATTACAACCAGAGCATCCGCCGGGCGGCTGCCGGCTCATCCACGCTCTTCTTTGGCTCCCACCAACTTTGAAGTGTATGTGGAACCTGACCCAGGAGAACAGCAGGCAGGGATGTCCTGCCAGTTTCCCTGGAAATGGAGATATTGTTTCCAGTCAGGCTCTTGTTCCCTTGTCCTGGGCCCTGGTCACTGTCACTGCACAAAGAAGGTTTTCAAGGCTGCTCTCCTGGTCCTGAGGTGGGCGGAAGGGGCCAGCATGTGGACTCAAGCTCACATCTGGAGCAGAGAAGCTCAGGAAGGGGAGCTGGGCTGCAGCAGGAGAGGGCACTCCAGGAGGGCCACCTTGATGCCTTGTACTGTAAATGCACCTCCTACAATGGGCCGGGCACGCCCGACCCTCGATGCAGCAAATACCAAGATTCCACGCTGCTCTGGAGAATGATAAAAGTCACTCCAGCGTGATGTGCACTCACTGTGGGGAGGCACTCACTAAGTAATTCATTGGGGATTATTTTATTAAACCATCACATTAACTCTGAGAGGTATGTACTATTATTATCCTCATTTTATAGATGAGGAACTGGGGCCCAGAGAGGTTAAGAAATAGGCCGAGAGTCAGAGAGTGAGAGCCAGGATTTGAACCAAGACAGTCTGACTTCAGAGCTCACAAGCTTGACCACACCACTGTGAGGACCTACTCTCAGACCACTGTGAGAATTAAACTCCCTCCCACTACTTCCCTATGCCCTCTCCCACCATGAGCCACAAGTCTCACCAGATTTCAAGTAGCTCGAG